CTTGTAGGTAAACAAGCATTCGTGTTAAAAGAAAATTCAAGATCCTAAGGAACAAGCTGCGTATTTGGAATAAGGAAAAGTTTGTGTGGATTGATTTTAAGATTAAAGAGGCTACAAAAAAGATTAACTGCAGGTACATCCATCCTTTAATAGATGCTCTTGGTGTTTCTGGTTCAAGGATAATGGATAGGAGGGAAGTCGCCGATGATCTTTGGAAACATCTTTGTCTCAAAGAAAGTTTGTTAAGAAAAAAATCAAGCAAAAAATGATTGAAAGAGGGTGATCAAAATAGTATATATTTTCACTCTGTTATTAAAGAGAGGCTTATGAGGAATTCAATTGTTTCTGTCCAAACTAGGGAAGGCATCAAAGTTGAGGATGTGAATGGGATACGTAACGATGTTTTGAAGGTTTTTGAAGGAAGATTAAAGGAAACCATTCATGATATACCTTGTTTGAGTGGTGGTGGCTTCAACATGATTTCTATGGAGGAGAAAAATTTATTGGAATCATCCTTTATACAAGAGGAAAAAGGAAATCAGTGTGGGATTCAGATGAAGAGAAGATTTCGGGATCAGAAGGTATCAATTTCAAGTTCATTCATGAATGTTGGAGTTTTCTCGAGGAGTATTTTGTTAAATTTGTTGAGGAATTTCACAGGTTTGTGACTCTCCCCAAGGCTATAACGGCCTTGTTTTTAGCTTTAATCCCAAAGAACCTTAATCCTCAGGTGTTGAACGAATATTGTCCTATTCGTTTGGTCGGCTGTTTATACTAAATACTGTCAAAGATTCTGGCTAACAAAATCAAGAAGGTCCTTAAGGGTATCATTTCACCTTCTCAAACGACATTTGTGCCCGAGAGACATATTCTGGACGGGGTTTTGGCGCTCAATGAAATCATCAACCATGCTATAAAGGAGAAGAAGGAATGCTTCATTTTCAAAGTCGATTTCCAACAGGCGTATGATTGCGTTAATTGCCAATTTTTGGGAAGTATGCTCCAAAAATTTGGTTTTGGTATTAATTGGTGCAGTTGGATGGAAGTGTGTATTTTTAATAGTTCATTATCGATCCTTATAAATGGGAGCCCAACGAAAGATTTTTGGGCAGAAAAGGGTTTGAGACAGGGTGGCCTGTAACACCCTTCTAAACTCCAAGGAATATTCACAAATAATTGAATAATTAAATCAGAGCAATGCACCAAAAATGGCGCCACATGCTTCATACAAACATCATAGTAAAACACATTCTTCTCCGTAACACAGGTTCTCAAAATTAAAACATCTATCTCTTTGAAATCATCATCACAAAGCTTCAGCTCATCGCAACGGAATTATTATTTCAAACATCTTTATTAAATACTTCAAAATCAAATACCATCATACTTCGTAACTCAATAAGTTAAACTTCAAAACATCTTAAAAATGAAATAGAATATTCTCAACATATCATGTAAATAAGGAACATATAGTTCAATTTAAGAGATCCCAAAGACCTTGATGTTACATATCAAAGCAAGACCCTCTTTAATAAAAATAAAGCATCTAAAAGATTCCATAAAGCTATCCTCTAAGCTTCGATGGACTATTCCTGATCACCTGTAAGTTACCCAAGTATATAGACAATGTTTCCAAGCAGAAAGGATGAGTAATCATAATCATTATAAAAGACATAAGGAATAAATATAGTAGTTATAACATAATATCAAGACACTAAACACCATCAAAACTTCATGTTATACCTACACCTTCAGTTCATTATTTATTCATAGCATCATCATATCATGAGCCAACAATCAACATCAAGACATCATTAGTTCACATATTCACAAAGCATCACTTAATCAATCATTATGCAATATCACAAAGAATGTAATGCATAACAACACATCTTATTATACATCATAGACATCAAATCATTGCAAAATAAACTCACAATTTCATCAATTTTCATCAATATTCGTATAATATTCGTATTAGGGATAATATTATTGCTTGTAATTTATTTTGACTTTATTATGGATTCAAGATTTATTCATTTTCATATGACATTTCATCTTATTCGCTAAGTGTATGGTTTAATTTATATAAAATTTATTATAATAGTATAATTATAATACATGATTTACTACATCAACGTATCTCTAAAAAAGTAGTCAAAATTTACCGACTAGGGTGAATATTAAAGTACATATTGATATTATGTATAGGGTGAATACGAATATGGATCTTCTGGTCAATTTATGTCAAAATAAGAGTATCTCAGTTAGAAATGCATGAAATGCGTATAGAGAGAGAATATAGAAGTGTATCTCCAAACTAATTTCAGACAAAAAAGAAGGGTGATATTCATTCACGCAAGTATTTAGTGTGAAATGGCTAAGTATGGAAATGCATTTTTGAATTCGTAGGAGCATTTTTGAATTTCTTTAAAATGTGTTTGGATGAAGCATTTTAATAAGAAAAGTAATTATTTGAGAGAATTTAAAAGGACTTGAACAAAATTCATTGTTTGGATTAAAAAATATGAAAAATTATTAAAATGATGTAAATTTATGAAGTATTTTATTCAAGTTAAATTCAAGAAATTTTTAAATGCACCAAAAAATAAAAAATTTGAAATTATTACTCCACTCTATATAATGCGAATATTAAAATTATTTATTATTAATTTTCTAAATTTTGTAAGATGATCCTCGTATTTATAAAAAAATTCAAATTCACCCCAAATTTAAAAAAATAAAATAAATAAATCATTAATAATTTTTAAATTTATAAGTTGGTCCTTTCAAATTTTTAAATATTATGAATTGGTTTCTATTTTTCATATTTTAAATTTGACTCAAAATTTATAAAAATAACCTAAAAATTTAACAATAAATTATTTAAAATTTAAAATTTCTTTAAAAAATTCAATTATCTTGTCCAAACGCATTGTGTGCTTCTCAACCACTTAGGTGACAGAAAAAAAGCAATTCCCACATGTTTTAGTGTCTTTTATATATATTAACTATAATTGTTTGGAAGTTATATAATGTTGTAATTCGAAAAAGCAATATCAAATTTCGTTGTGTATTATTTTAAAATAGTTATTGGTGTCACTTAAATTTATTTAAAAAAATCACATAACAATATTTTAAAACTTTACATTTTAATTATTTTATATTTTTTAAATAAATAACTTAAAAATATTTGTTTGTCATTAATTAATTAGTCAATTTTTTTTAATATCATTTAAATAAAATAAAAACAAAATTATTTATAATATATTAATTTGATTATTATAAAAACAATACACAAAAAATATGATCAAATTCCTTCATGAATTACTTTAAAATAGTCATTAGTGTCATTTTAATTTATAAAAAATTCACCTTCTCTGACAAAAATTTAAAAAGGTAATCCAGAACTATATTTGGATCCTTTTATCATGGTTTTAATCTTGACACATCATACCTTTTAAAGAATTTATGGACAATTTACACGATTTGTGTTTAAAAGTTTATTTTACAATACCATTCAAATATGCATATATACCTTTGATAGAAAATTTACTCATTGTTCAGGAACACTTCATTTTATTGTCATTTTTTTATATTATAAAAATTGATTTTATTTTACTAATAAGATAACAATCTTTTATAAACTTTGAAAAATCAATTGCTAGAGAAATTACTTGACAATCATTTTTGTTTTTTATTTTAATATTAACATGTATTTTTTTTAAGTTTTAATTGAAAAAATTTAATAATACATTAAATTTATTTAATAATATAACAAAAAAAATTTGAATCAAGGAACTATTATTATAATAATATAACAATTATTATGATGATAAATTAATTTAATAATATCATTTATAACATATTTAATAAATGAATATTGTGTATACAAAAAATTAATATCTTTGTGTTACAAATATAAATTAGGTAAACTTAATATTATTTTATTAACTTTGATATATAAATAAGAGCAACTATAGTACATTAATTATAATTTTCTTACATTTAAATTTTTTAAGATTTATTTTTAGAAAAGGATAATAAAAAGTCGTTGATGCGTGAATTTTATTTTTATATATTTGTTTGTAATTTGTTTGTAATTAATCATTTTACTATTACTTTAATATTTTTAAATAAAATAATAATAATGAAAGTTTATTAATTTGAATGTATTATATAAAACAAGATTAAAGAAACACCCATAAACATAAGAACCACAAACACATTTAAGTTTAAAATATATCTAAAAAATAAATATACCTCCATGTTTGGCAACGCATAAAAGAAGTAGCAACACAAGTAATAACTTTATCGTGCTAACATTGATAGTTTTCAATTTTTACAACTAGTAAAAGTGGCATAACAAAATAATATCAACTTAAGAATAAAACTTAACCAAGCATTGACAATTAATATTTGTCAATAAAACTACAATCCTTCTAGAAATAAGCTCAAACATAATAAAGCAACTACTATGAACCCCTTTGGGCTCCTCTAGCTATATGTACATAAAAAAATAGAAAAAAATAGCAGTGCTCAACTTCGTGGACACATTGATATCATATTACCAAACTGTTTTTGGTTTGGCCTTTTGATGAATCCTCACATGATATGGATATGAATTTTTGTGGTAAGATATTCAACGCTTGGATTGACACCGGAGTTAGAACACATTTAAATGTATATTTTAATTTGAAAAAACTGAAATACCGATCTTAGAATTTAAATTCTCCGATCTCAATCCAATGGCCATCAACGAGCTAACGAATGCATAGATTGTTGACAGCAGCAAATCCAAATCTCACATCTTATCAATGAGGCGGTATTCTGATTATTAGGAAAATATTAGTAATCTGCTATGGATCTTCCGAAAACGTGCATGTGGAAAGGAATGGAAATAATACTTATTCCGTAAGCATAGGATTTCCCCATCGGTTTGTGCCAACTCAGTATTGTGACATCTATTTCCGAGGAATTGAAAGCAAGGGAGGATTATACTAAACAGCAATGACATCGGCATCTTGGTTGTCCTCGCATGTTATGATAAGACCTTCAACGTTGGTTGGCAAAAGGCAGCGGCTCCATTGACAACCAGTTGAGGCAGGCTCTGTTGGAGGAACAATCATGAGCACATTCTCGTGTCGACGGACTACTCCCATCACACTTACTGTACTGCCTTCTTTGATGTACCTGTACATTCCCCAAATTAACCTTTTAGATACCAAGTAACAAATAGATGCGAAACTTTAAAAGAAAATCCCTAGGAGCACGAGGAAAAAGGTAAATTACACTCTCCATATTGCAGTATCTAGACAACTTTCTTTTCATCTTTTTACTACTTAATTCTCCCTCAGTCCCGAGATATAAGAGAAAAAAAATAAAAAACACACTTATTAAGTAAAAAACATAATCATTTGACTAGTGGTTTTTTGAAATAAAGTGTTTAGAAAGATGTAAAAATAATTCTAATTGGTTGTTGGTTATAGAAAAGATGAGAGAGAATGTAAATGAAAGTGATTTTTTTCTCTTATATTTTGAGACAAGAAAAATACATTTTTCTCTCTTATATTTTGGGAAGGAGGGAGTATATGTTTCCCAGAGGATTTTCCTTTGTTGTAGTAATTCGTAGAACATCCCACACCCCTTTGTTGGATAAATATTATTCCTAAGATTTTCAATTTCTTTCAAACTAACTCGTTCTCAAACAGTAATCCATAGAATAATGAGAGACCGTACCCTTCCTTGAGACGCATTATTCGGTCATCAGTAGAGAGTTTGCGGTCTGCAATCCAGCCTAAGAAGTTTGGAGATAACTCTCTGTTCTCTTTTGTAACATCAACAACAGTAGTGGGTTCCACGAAAGGAGCAACTTTGGCACCATAGCCCGCTTTCACTAATGCTCTTAACCCGGTCTGGAAATCTGATATGTAGAAGTCTGCTACGTATTTCTGCTCATGGAAAATTATAAAATTATTGTCATTATGCAGCACAAGTGAGACAAACTCACCATACATTAATCAAGAAGTAAGAAATAACCAACCACCGAATTTTTCATATTCTTTATATTCGGAGTTTATTGATTCTTAAAACAGGTATACACACAAGAAGATAATTGCACCCAAATAGAAGGCAATGGCATCAAATATATATCAACAGATCTTACCTAAATTTAATTATTATTCATTAAGCATCTCGGCATTCTATATTATAGCTGTCATTTGAATTAACAAAGGTCTATTTGTGTCCGTGACGTCGAACTCTTATCAATATGAGTATATTCCTCCCATATCAGTAAACATAAAGCATCAATAAAGTAGTCGAACGGACTAACCTCAGAGTATCTAGAACCCCAAGTGAGGCATCGATGTTTAGGATTTGCTGATTTTCCACCCCATCCTTTATACTCATATAATTCTGTGGAGACATATACACATCTAGATACTCTTTGATAAGATGACTCCAAAGGAATACTGCCACAAGTTACAACCTACAGAAAGGAAAAAAAATAAGTATAAAAATATACAATGGAGTCATGCCAAGTTCTTCCCCTCCAGTCAACGCTATTAAAGTCTATATTTCTCACTTATATCACTCCAAAACTAAGGTGTCAGCTCAATGGTAAGGAGTCAGACCTTGTAATCTTAATGGAATATGTTCAAATCCCTTTGGGGTCTGTTGTAAAATGACCATTAGTACCACTTTAACTAATGATAATTCCCAAAAACAAAACTATATCGATAAGGAAACCGCACCATATAAGACTGCAAAAGCTTGAAGTTTTTAATGAGGAACAAAATGTATGGAAAATGAACATATGTCTCATAGGACAAACACGCATAGAATGCAGTATAGGACATAACCATCAACCCAAACAGACGAATCCCTTTTGAGTACTTCACAGTGCTAATATAAAGAAATGAAAATGAAATGAGACTTAAGAGTATGTGAGTACATCCTATTCAGGAAATAAGATAAAACATCTGAAGCACTAATGCCACTGATCGAAAGCGTGTCCATTGTCCGGTGTCCGACACAACAACAAATCATGTCATTGTACTCAATTAATTGATTTTCTTAAATAATTACCAATGTCATGTCCGATGTTCGTGTATGGGCTTCATTGACAAAAACAACTAAGAATGTAACAACCTTACTAGCATGATATAGCCATAAGCTCATAATGTCTAGCAAAAGATTTTTTTCCTGCAGCCTGCTACTTAACCGGCCACATGAAAATATTAGGTGTGAAGAGTGATTCAAAAATGATTCCATAAATGCCATTCAATTCTACAGGAATGTGAATTTCCCTAAAATATCAAAAAACAGTGAGCCCAAAAAGCCAATATTAATAACTAAGTATATCCACTTTTGTGAAACAAATTTTTTTCACATGGCATGCATTTTTGGTGGTACCACAACAACCAAACCTTATCCCACTAAGTGGGGTGGGCTACATGGATCAACTTTCACAATATTCTATCCAAGACCATTCTTCTATTCAAATTGTTCTTCTCGATATCTTACTTAATAACTTCTCTTATAGTTTTTCTAAGTTTTCCTCTATATTTATCTGTTTGACTCCTCTCTATCAGATTTACTCTCCTTACCACAAAATCCACAGGTCTTTTGTTATGACACGGCATGCGATTTAGGTAAAAAGCAAAAACCTTCCTAATTCTGACATTCTTAGAGAAGCAAGTATCTGATCCTTATTTAATTAATTGACCACATAAATGCACATCAGACATCATTATTATTCCTTAACATCATCTACATGCCCAATTCAAGTGGTCACCATAATCACCACTTTAAGTGGAACAAGAAAAACATTCCCAAAACTCAAGTTAACTCCAACCTTTCAAGTCATGATTTTTGTAATACCAATAATAGAGCATATCTATACATTATAAACATCATCTACTAGCTATGTTTTTTTACCAAAAGCAAAACTCATTAGCTTAAATACTGATATTGGACATTCCAGCAACCCCTACATAGATAGAGCCATCAATGTATAGATCAACTACAAAAGAAAAGTCTCAATCAAACATCAAGACAAATTCATTCCCCATCATATATAATAAGTATCAAATCCATACCAAGAAAATCTCATACCTAACCATAAATTAATAAATTATTTGAATATTATAAACAAACCAACCTCTCCCACACACTCTCCAAGAAAAGAAAGTGTGATCAAAATTAAACATAAACAATGTGAACATTAAAAAATAAGATACGAAAGATCAATAAATTATTAATACTATGATGATTCTGCAAAAGGGAAAAGATTAAGAAAGAAAATTACCCCAGTAACCTTAACATACTGTCCATCAGTGGCACCTCTAAGTTCAGCATCAGCGTACCTTTTAACAAACCCTAAAAGCCCTTTTCTTCCCCAAACACAATTCCAAGTAATCAAAACAACAACAGGCACAATAATCCCTCCAAGCGCAAACAAGATCACAGCCTTGTTCACAGCCACCATCAAAAACACACCAACAAGCAAACACATTGCAACCACCACCATAAAAATCCACACCACCGACCTCGAAACCCTAAACCCAACTTTCACTTCATCGCCCAAACTCGTCACCGCCGAACCATAAACCGCTTTCCCCACCCCCACCGAACCCGGTTGCTCCATCTGACCCGACCTCCTACTCACATTAATCGGACCGGATCCAACCGGCCCCGACGTTATCAACCCAGTCGGCTGCAACGCTATCGGTCCAGAACCGGTTGATTTCCTCGACATATTACCCGAACCACTATTCCTCCCAATTTGACCCGAACCACTGTTTCTCCCTATCGGACCCGAGTTCGGCCTGGATCTCACCTGCCCACCACTGTTGTGTTGAGAGGAAGAAGACGGATGCGAAGATTTGGGATCCAATCCAGGAATATCAAGCATTTTACCAAGCTCACCGGATTTCTTCGGGTCACCGCCGGTGTACGGAACAGAACGCGACGACATTGTCGGTAACCGCTCCTTCGGCTGTTCGGGTCGACCCGAAACATAGAGTCCACTGCTTAACTGATGCGAAGGGATTCGAGTTCCCATTGAGAATGCGAGAAGCTTTCAAAGAGTGTGAAATTCTTCTTCTTTTTCGCTTCTTTTTCTAGTTACTGTTACAGTGTTTTTGATGCGACTGACTGTGTGTGAGTGAAGCACTAATTAGTGGGGGAAGTTTCAACAGAATTATACAAATGGGAATCAGTTTTCCTGAAATGACGTATATATCCCGTTTTTGACAAAGTATTATAGGACGCTGTTGTGCTAGTTGGGGGTGAAATGGGTAATTCACAATTTGTTGTTTCGCGTTTTTTTCTCTTCCCACGCTCATTATTTTTACATTCTTACCCTTTTTATTAATGTATCTTTTTGTTTCCTTTTTATTCTTTTTAAACAAACTTTATAGGAGTATCTTTTATTGCTTTACTTTCTGCACCTTATCATTTTCATTTTAAAACAGAGGGAGTATCTCTTGATTACGGTAATGATTAATAATTTAATAGCGTTGAAGCTTGATGTTCCACACTCTTTTTTTGGATAGAAAATTGTGTTGTAATTTTTTTGACAAATGATGTTTTACTATTATGATGCAATCTTTTTGGATTGATTTTGAGAGAAATAATAATTTGATTTGAAAGTAATATAGGTGTACGTGCAAGTTAATTCAATTTGGATTGCTATTTTAAAAAAAAACGATTTAGTTAAATGTGTTTTAATTTGGATATCTTTTTAGTTAATCTAGGTTATAGTTATAAATACATTTATTATTGATGTTATAAAATCATGAAAATTTAATAAATTTAATGTAAAATATAATACAAAATATATTAGAAATTAACATTGCCTAATATGTTTTAAAATATATGAAGTAGTATAAAATATTTATCTAATAAGTATTTTTTTAAAATAAAAATTGAATAAATAATACTTTGGCCCAATGTTAAAATTCATGTGTGTATTTTTGCTAGGTTCTATTGGGCATTTGAGATTTGAGTTGAGCAATTTCTATAAAATAATATTTAAAGTCTTCAATAATGTTTTGTATGATTTAAAATTTTTAAAGCTAAATTTGTGATTTTAATTGGATCAAATTGAATGAAAAGACATTTAGCAATGATGATGTGTGATGAGATACTACTAATAAAAATATATTAATAATTGATAAATTTGATTTTTTTTTTGCTTTGTTTTATTATTATTTTATTTATTTTTGTTGTTTCCGTTGTATTTTAGAGGTATAAAAAGGAATGAAGGATCAAAACACATATTTAAGAGAGGTAAAATCTAAGCACGAGAGATGTATGAACGTCTTGAAGAAATTGAGGAAGAATGAAGCAAGTTTGGCACAAAACAGTGGGATTTATGACTAATCCGTAATGGTTATTACGGCTGTAATGGTTTTAGGTTTTCATGAGCGAAAAAAGCAAGGTTTCCGGTCAAAACAACTAGAATTTCGGTCAGCCTGTAATGGCCATTACGACCATAATGCCTTCGAGACCTCTTAGTTTTCTTTTGTTTAGTTGTTTCGTTTTTATGTTCTCTATTACAAACTTTTTATTTCCCTATGATTTTAGGGTATTTTAAATTTACTTATTAGTTATTATTGAGGGATTAATGGACTTGTTTTAGCATTTAGTATGACATTCTCAACTTCTAATCATAGCTCTTTTTATGATGAGGATGTGAATATTGACTCAATCTGTCTTAAAAATGATTAGGTACAAGAGTTATGGTTAGATCTAAAGTTGCCCAATACCAGGAATGAGGTCGATATGATATTGGAGTTGTGTGCGTCAAATGAGAAGGTTTCCATGCGACAACCTCAAGTGATAAATGATGAATATTTCTATTTCGATATTGGGTTCATTGATGACTCTGGGGTCGGTACTCCCTTTACCCTCCTTCTATATTGGGTTAATTGAGGACTTTGGGTGGGCATTCCCTTTTCTTAACATGATTTGTTGTAATGTAGTTTTTATTCAAATCTTTAACTATAAAGACTAAGTTTTTATTCATTTTTAAGAGTCTATACTGCTTCATCAAAACATTCAATTTGGACTATTTTAATTTCTTATTGCTTCATAGTTAAGACACAAAGAATACAAATAGATTTTGTTGATTCATTATTAATAATCGTATATAGGGGTAGAAATAGGCCAGCCTTAGAAGGCCTAAGGCCGGCCTACAAATTTTCTTAAGGCCTGAGCATAGTATAACACCCTAAACCCCATGCATGAAGAATCACATAATTTAGTTATAAATACAATCACGTGGGGTGTCACACACATAAAAAAATGTGCATCCTACTCCGTAACACAAATTTTAACATAATAATTTAAAGACACATATTTGTAATTGGGATGTTTACACGACATCCAACTCATCTAAATTGTACCTGAGATGTTTACACGACATCTAACTCATATGAACCGTACCTGGGATGTTTACACGACATCCAACTCATCTTATCAATATCACATATTTATATAATAAGACATTTCATAACCTGTCATCGCACGCTCACCCAATTATTCAAGGAGCCATCACAGCGGAATCATTAATAAAATAACTAACAACAACATTACAACTTACAATGATTAGTCCCATAAACTTAAATTTCATAGCATGAACAAAAAGAGTCAAAATATTCAACTTAAAAATCTTAGCAACACAAAATTCTTTAACTCCGACACAAACGACATAATAGTCAATTCAAGCGTTTATCCCAATCCGATAATACATGATCAAAGCAAGGAACTACTAGTAAAACGATAAACTATGGAAGTAAATCCAAGGCTATCTTCCACTTACTTCAGCAATGCTACTCCTGAGTATCTGCACGATACTCATGTAAAGGCAACATTCAAACAGAAGGAGGTGAGAATACAATTCAATTAACGCTGAAAGACAATTGGAGTAGATTAACTAACAACATCACACACCAATCACAACAATGTAAACATATCAAGTATTCTCATCCACATATCATAACATCAAAATAATCACCAAATGCAACACAGATGAAAATATACTCAACAACTGACTCAACATGCATGTGGTACCAAATTATAAATACTTAGGTCCACTTCACTCCATGATCCCCATCATAGGATTGATTTCCTCTTGGAACTGGAGTACATTAAATCGGCACCATCATAATAGGTAACACTTCACTAATTCCCCATTATATGAATTAGCTACTCGAACCTGATCTATCATCATAGGATCGAGGCTCATCATAAAGAACTGAAGTTCAGACAACATGAATGCATGAGCTCTCAATCATACAACAATAACACATACACATTGGCCCCTCTTCTAACTGTGTATGCCACCAACAACATAATCACCATAAACATATAATGTATATATTCGGATATGAATCATCATTAACAACACTATCACAACAACATCATCAACGTCACATCATAACAACATCATTATCACACAACATTATCACACAATGTAACAATTCATTAACCAAACATATAAATCAATAACTTCATCAACATAGTAGGAATAAGAATAATATATAAAGTTTCACCTATCACTATCATGTTATAGATCTTAGTATTAGATTCCTATCACTTCAAACGACACGTCATTTAGATACACGGTTACAAAGTATGAAGAAAATCATCGAAGCACGTCATAGTTTCCAAAAACAGAATTATCTACGTTACACATAATTCTCATTAATTAATAATATTATTATGACACATTCAACCTCTAAATTTATTATCACTTGATAGTAAATCGTGTTAGTTTTCTAATGCCTCAAACAGAATTTCATTTGGACTTACAGTTTAAGAATTATGATATAAACAATATTTGGCCAAAATACAATAGGAGCAATCGATTGTAGTAAGTGACAATCGATTGTTCACCTTTAAAAACAATTCTTCACACATTTTGCACAACTACAATTGGTTGTTATGGGTGACAATTAGTTGTTATGGCTATTATGGTTAAATTTTTCATTTTTCTTTCAAAAGATCAATTGATTGACCCATGGCACAATCAATTGTTGTTGTGACTAGGGGTGTTCGCGGTGCGGTTTGGGCGGTTTTGAAGAAAAAAATCACCCGAACCGCAAGAGAAAAAAACATGCGGTTCGGTTTGGTTCGGTTGGATTTTAAAAATAAATCCGAACCAAACCAAACCAAACTAATGCGGTTTGGATTGGTTCGGTTGGTTCGGTTTTTTATTAAAAAAATTATTAAGTCATACATACAAATATAGAGGAAAATATAATTTTGTGTTTAATTGTTCATACATTACCATAAAAAAATTTATAATTGTCAAAATAAGTTTATAATTTGATACATAAAATTGCATATTATAATTTTATCTAAATCTAAAGAATGATATAAACAATATTGCATTCTTAAATAAATATTATACAAAGAATACGATAAAATATATTTTGTGAAAATAATATTTATAAATGAATAATGTTTTATTTTTTTATGATTTGTAAATTAAAATGAATATAATACAAAGTATGATAAAATATACACATAATACATGTTGATTTCTCTAAAGAATTAAAAAATATATATTGGTTAGTAAGATTTTATAACATAATGCGGTTTTGTTTGGTTTGGTTCGGTTTGTAAAATACAAACCGCAAACCGAACCGAACCGTGCGGTTCCGCGAGAAAATGACCCAAACACATCCGAACCAAATGCGGTTTTTTGCGGTTTCGGTTTGATTTTGTTTTCTATTGGGCCGGTTTGGTTTTGAACACCCCTAGTTGTGACCTTTTCCAAAAATCTTAGTTCTCATGTTATGATCCACTCATCTAATTTCATGTTTCCAATATTAAACCAGTAACAATTTTTTTTAACATGCAAATCATATCCATATAATTTTATTACGACTAACACCATCATTATCTCAATTAACACAACTTTTCAACAGTTCTTCATAAATCATTCATCAAAGTTCAATGTCCAAAAATATCTAATTCACACCAATTTCATCATAAATAAAAATAAGATGAAATGATCAAGGATCTTTTCTCTCAAGCCCTAGCACACCTTCT